CATCAGCATCAGCATCAGCATCAATCATCATCATCATCATCATCATCATCATCATCATCATCATCATCATCATCATCATCATCATCATCATCATCATCATTATTATCATTATCATCAGCATCATCATCATCATCATCATCATCATCATCATCATCATCATCATCATCATCATCATCATCATCATCATCATCATCATTATCAGCATCATCATCATCATCATCAGCATCAGCATCAGCAGCAGCAACAGCATGATCATCAGCATCAGCATCATCAACATTAGCATAATCGGCATCACCGTCATCCTCATCATCAGCATCATCAGCATCATCATCAGCAGCATCATCATCGTCAGTACCACCATCAGCATTACCAGCATCACCATCATCATCAGCAGCACCAGCATCAGCATCATCATCAGCAGCAGCATCATCAGCAGCAGCATCACCAGCATCATCATCAACCTTATAATCATCATCGTCATCAGTATCTCCATCAGCATCAGCATCAGCACCATCATCAGCATCATCATCAGCAGCAGCATCACCAGCATCAGCATCACGCTCACTATCATCAGCATCACCAGCATCATCAGCAACACAGTTTGTCCATGTTCAGTATCATCATTACCAACAGCACCATCATCATCACCAACAGACTCGCCACCATCATCAACATCAGCATCACCATCACTACCATCATCATGATCATCAGCATCAGTATTATCATTATCATCATCAGCATCAGCATATCATCAGCAACATCAGCATCGTTCATGAGCATCCTTATCATCAGCAGCATCATCGTCACCGTATTCATCATCACTACAATCATCATCGTCACCCCTTCTCCTCCTCCTCCTCCTCCTCCTCCTCCTCCTCCTCCTCCTCCTCCTCCCCCTCCCACTCCTCCTCCTCCTCCTCCTCGCTTCTCCTCGCTCATCGCTCCTCCTCCTCCTCCTCCTCCTCCTCCTCCTCCTCCTCCTCCTCCTCTTCCTCTCCATCCCCCCCCCTCCTCCTCCCCTCCTCATCCTTCTCCTCCTCCTCTCCTCCGCCCATCGCTCCTCCTCCTCTTTCCTCCTCCTCTTCCTCCTGCTCCTCGCCTCCTGCTCCTCCTCGCTCCTCCTCGCTCCAAACACCTCCTCCTCCTCCTTCCCTCCTCCTCCATCATCCTCCTCTCCTCCTCATCATCATCATCACACAGCAGCATCATGATCATCAGCATCAGCATCTTCAATCAGGACCATCATCAGCAATCATACTCCAGCAACATAATCAGCATCATAAATCACGCACATCAGCATCACATCATCATCATCACCATCAATCATCACCATCACCATCACCATCACCATCACCATCCAATCATCATCATCATCATCATCATCTCATCATCATCATCATCACCATCACCATCACCATCACCATCACCAGCACCATCATCATCATCATCATCATGCACATCGCATCATCATCATCATCATCATCATCCACATTCACCATCAGCAGCAGCAGCAGCATCAGCATCACATCATAATCATCATCGTCACCCATCCTCCTCCCCCTCCCCCTCCTCCCCCTCCCCTCCTCCTCCTCCTCCTCCTCCTCCTCCTCCAGCCTCCTCCTCCTCCTCCTTCCCCACCTCCACTCTTCCCTCCCTCCTCCTTCCCCCTCCTCCTCCTCCTCCTCCTCCTCCTCGCTCCTCGCTCCTCTCCCTCCTCCCTCCAGGGAAGGGGGGGGGGCAGGAAGGGGGGGGGGGGGGCCCACGGACCGAGGACCGCGCCCTCGCCGCCGTCGTAGCACGTCTTCAGGCCTCCCGCGCCGTCCCACGCCATGCCCGCTTGCGCCGCGCAGCTCCGCGCGGTCTCCTCGGACAGGGCGCCAGCGAGGGGCAACGTCCCCAGGCGTCTCGAACAAATCGAGACAAATATGTTTCATAGTTTTTGGCCTCTCGGGGCCCTCGCCGGGCCTCGGGACCCTCAAAAAACGACTCGGGATGAAAAACCGGTCCCAGGGAAGTGGTCGGGAGGTCGGGGGCCCGCGTCTCGAAAAAATCGAGACGTCGGATGTCTGGGTCAGGTGAACGTTTTCTTACTCGGCGTTTCGACATTGGGCGGAAGGGGGGGGGAAAGGGAGGGGGTCTGGCTCTGGACCTCTGCTCAGTGCGACGGTTTGCAAGCGCGCATCCTATGGGGGAGGGGCTCCACCTGCTCGAAAGCAGGCGCCAGAAACAGCCAAGATCTACTCCATGGGAGGGGGGAGGGGGGGTGCGAGGGCCCGCGCCGACCGGCAAAACAATGCATAAGAAAACGACCAGGGCGAGGGCGCAAGCGGTGTTTTTCGTTTTCGTTTTGTGTTGTCGTGCTCCTCCGTTCTGTCTTCGATCCGCCCTGCAACACGAGATCGAAACGAAAACGGCATACGCAAGCGCCAAAGCACCGTCTAGGTCGACCCCTGGGCAACGTTGGGGGGGACTGGCACAAGGCAGAGGCAAAGGCAGAGCCATAACCTCAACAGCTGTACAAATGAACCAGACCCCCTCGGGGAATGACCAACAACCACGACGGGAAGCTTGTGTCGCTGTTCTCGCCATCTGGAAGTCCTCACCAACCCTCGGGACCGTCAAACAACGACTCATCACGAGAAACGGGACCAGGGGAATGGGTTGAGACCTCTGGGGGTCGACGTTGTTAGGCGGCGAGCGAGGGGGGAAGTGAGAAGGAGAAAGCCCTCTCAGAAGGCGGCAGGACTTCTCAAAAGGTCCCGCGCCTCCTGAGAAATTGTCAGTGTCTTCGGGGAAGGCTTAGAAGACTTGTCAGAAAGCTGGTAGACTTTCGAGCCTTCCGAGAAGACCCGCCCCTTCTTTCCACCCGGGCTCGCGGCCGAGTTATGAAAACAAGCAAAAGCATGACACCTCTGGCACATGGCTGTTTCCATGGTGGCTAACGGAGGGTCGCCGACGCCCAACAGTACAGCGGGAGCTCGACCACAAGAAACCTTCCACAAGAAACCCAATCCTGAGACCCCAGGACGTCCATTTATTTTTGGTGTGGTAACGTCGCGCTTTCCATAGCGAAACCCTCGAAACCCAAGAAGGGCACCCTGGAGGCAAGCAGGGTGTTTCTTGGCATGGGCCTCTACTGTAGTCGGCAGATGGTCAGTTACTCCGCCGTCGCCGCCGCCGCTGTCGAGGAGGACGACTTTTGTTGACCGCGAGCCCCATCCCGCATACAGCTATGGTAGTGGGCGAGGTCAGCGGGGGGCCTGGCTCCACTCCACCGCCGCGCGGGAGGCTGACCAACCCTAGACCCCGCGACCACGGGGGGCCAGGAGGACAGGGCCAGGGACAGGGACAGGGGCAAGGACAGGCGAACCATTGCCAGCCAAGAGCTGTGGGGGGGGCCAGAATTCGAGACCTCCTGAGGTTACGCCCTCCGGCGTTCGCGAGAACGTCCTGCACTCTCCAGCTCCAAGGCTCCTCCAGTTCCACAGACACAAACGGGGGGAAGGGAACATCGACCTGGAATCGGCTCGGGGTTGAGCAGGGACCGACCGTCCCGGCATTCCTATAGTCATACCACGAAATGTTCTTAGAACCCAAAAATATTCTAAGAACAAAAACAAGGTTCTTAGAACATGAACCCGATGTGTTAAACAAAAACCAGACTCCGCCAGAAATGCTCTAAGAACATTTCGTGGAAACCACAGAAGGTTCTTAGAACATTGTCTGGCAGGGCTATACAAGGGCTCCCAACTTCGCGCTTCGCGCTGCGCGAAGCGCGAAGTGCGAATAACTTCGCGCTCTCGCGCCACCCCCCCAAAGGGAGAAAAGGAGGACAAGGAGGGGGAGGAGAAGGAACGAGGACCGCGAAGCGCGAAGCGCGAATAACTTCGCACCCTCGTGGGAGCCCTTGGCTATAGGCGAGCCAGGACGCTTCGCCACTGCTTGACGGGGGGAGAAGCATCGACCCGGAGTCGGCGGCAAGCACGTCGCCGGCGCATCGGCGACAGGCCCCCGATGCCAGATCCGCGCGGTCCTGGGCGGGGTGGGCCCATCGGGCCCCTGTTTCGGGTCGGGCGAAAGGGGGGGATAGCAAAGGGGGGGTTTGAGAATCAGCTCACGTAGCTGATTTTCCCGGCGCCTCCCGGCGCCGGGAGCGGCCATGTATCGAGGAATTGGCCCCTCGGTGAGGCCGAAACCAGCTGCATGCAGCAAATTTCGTAACCCCCCCTTTCCCAATCCCCCCCTTTCGCCCGACCCGACTGTTGGCGCTGCGTGGGCGATGGGAGGCTGCTTGTTTGATATTCACCACATTCGCGCTCGCCTGGGAGCGTCGATGCCCACGGGATGTGCAGCCAAAGACCCTGAGAAGGACGCGCGGTAAGGACGCAAGACCCTTGAAAGCCGATGTTGGGATTGTTGGAGCGGCGGACGACGAAAACCCCAAGGACGCGAGAGCAAGGAAGAGCAAGGACGCAAGGGCACCCTGAGTAAAGTCGCGCGTCCTTATTCGGGTCTCTGACTGTACACGAGCTGCACCAAGCAGGCCCAGAACCGCGCGAAGACCACCCTGCAGTGGAGCCGGCGAGAGCCCGCGCGCGAAGCCCTGGCCCGCGCAGAGAGCCGCACGGCGGCACCACGAGAAGGGCGAGGCCCCTCGGCCTGCCCGCCCTCGCCCCTCCCCCCCTTGGCCGTGGTCCGCCCGGGGGGGGTCGGCGCGACCGCGGCCCGCCGCCTGCGCGTCCCTCTCGTCCCTCCTTGCCCCCATCGGTCCCTCGATTCGCCCTCTCTTCGGCTCCCCCCGTGCCGTCCTCTGCCCCCGGGCGTCCACTGACCCGGGTCAGTGCCAACCTGGGTCGGCCGGGCCCTGCATAGGATCCTGCAGACTCCTCCGGTATCCCGCAGGACCCTGCGCGCTCACCCGGGGTCAGTCCTGGCCTTGCACGACCCTGCAAGGTCCAGGCTCTGCCTGACCCTTTTTTGCATGGAACCCTCGTCCCTGG